CCTGCAGCCACCCAGGCCAGCTGACGCACTGCTGCTCTCCACCCACTTCCTAGCATCTGCCCTGTGCTTGCTGGGCCTGTGGTCCCCCATGGTTCCCTCCTTCAGTACAGGACTGCCCTGTGCATACATCTGTGCCACAGCATGTGTCCCGTGCAGTAAACAGAAGTTGCAGTAAACATCCACCACCCGAGTAGATGGGATGCATAGAGCTTAAGCCCCCTCTGGCCTTACTCCATGGACTCCCATCTGTCTTTGGGAAACTCAGGAACAAGAGACCAGGCCTTAGGCAGTGATCATTCCCATCTCTGACCATCCACCTTCCTTTCCTCCCTGCCCTGCTTCTCTCCTTTTTTTTGGTGGTACTGGAGACTGAACCCAGGGCCTTCACATTGAGCTACATCCCTGGCCCTTTGTCTGTTCTTTATTTTGAGACAGGGTCTCACTAAGTTGCCCAGGGTGGGCTCAAACTTATGATTCTCCTGCCTCAGCCCACCCCAGTGCTGAGGTTACAAAAATGTGCCACCATGCCTGGCTTTCTGGCTGTCTTTTGGCAACTCCTTTTGCCATATCAGTCTACCCCAAATCCAGCACTCTGTTTAACCTTGTTCTGCCAGCTCTGCAGATGGAGAACAGCTGCCTAGCATCTGCTGGAGATTTGAATATACATTCTGGACATATTTTCCCTTTGTTAATGGCAAAATAAAAGCCCCAGAAAGGAAATACTACCCTCTTCCCTGATTGCGGGGGCCTGTGGGTAGGCGCCACCCCAGATACCTGCCATAATCACAGGCACTCGGAACACGTAGAAACCACTGCAAGTTTCCCAGGAGTGACTGGGGAAAACCTGCAGAGTCCATCTCAGGGGACTTGAGGCAACACCTAGGACCCTTTGAGAGAATCTGATATATTCTCAAGGCAGCATGGCCCGGGCTCAGACCTCTCACACCTGAGCCTACTCAGGAGCAGGTCCCCAGGCTGGGTTTGGCTTCTCATCCCTCTACCTGCAATTGCCTGTGGATTCCAGCTCCAGCAGAGGCCAGTTGGATGGGGTGTGCTGCTTCTCCAGCCTTTTCTGCCCTTTGCTCAGCCCCCAAGCTGCTCTGGGGCCAGGATTCAAGAGAGGTTTGTTTGTCTGACGGACCCAGGTCTCTGCTCGGCAAGGGATAAGCTAGGAAGCCAGCGATGTGGGGTGTGGATCAAGGTACCCTGGTTCAGAGGGGCAGTAGGTGAGGCCCACACCCCTGTGGAGGTGGGGTAGCCAGATTTAGCAAATAGAAATTTATGTAAACAAATTGTTATCTAGTTTGTCTGAAATTCATATTCTCAGTGTCTACCCATCAAGCAGAAACAGGTCTTCATCTGGGTGAAGGGGCTGGGAAACAAGACCTTGGTACCGAGTCGCCCTTAGCTTTGTGCTCTCGAGTCTCCAGAGGAGGAAAAGGCCTCTGCCTGGGTGCCATGGCCAGGAGGGGGTAAGGCGCAGAGTTAGGCACTTGGATTCCTGGCTTACTTCCCTTTTGCTGGCTCTGAACCCTTAGTCAAGCTCAGTGGCATGTTCTGGCCTAATGTCTGCCTACTGTGAGCTCTACGGGACAGGCACACCCTGCATGGGACTGTAGAGCTCCAAGGGGCCCTGGTGGTGGAGAGGTGGGGCCCAGGGAGCCTGAGCTGAGTTTGAGGACACTTCTCTTTTCCCGTATCTCCCCTTCCAGTGGCCCATCATCCTTTCTAGGGACCCAACACAGGTACTAGCAAGCTACATTCCCTTTTATTTTGAAACAAAGTCTTGCTAGCTTTCCCCAGGCTAGCCTCCAATTGCAATCCTTCTGCCCCCACTTTTCATGTGATAGCACCTTATTGCTGATTGGCTTTTGGTGGAACTGGAGACCCAGAGGTCCACAATAATCCCAGAGTTTTAAAGGGGTGATGTTGGGGTCCAGGCTGGTCCTTGTGCTAAGGTCTATATTATGCAGTTCCCCTTGTCATCTTTGTCTTTCTGGAGGCCTTCTGGGGTCACACTGAGCATCTGCAGCAATGGTTGTGAGATGTGACCCAGACGCTGGACCGATCTAGTGAAGAATAGCAGTTGCCCAGTACATGGGGACAGAATCATCTGCACGATTATGGTAGCAAGTAGACCCAGCCCTGGCCTAGTTACCTTGAAGGATACATCGTCTACAAATTATGCTTCCACAATTCATCTCCAATATTCTTTTGAGGCCTTTTAAAGCATAATTGACACAGACCAGCTTTCTGTGCTTCCTTGGGCTGTGGGTATTGTTAGCTTTCTCTTGTTCACGTCAGCCTGCCTTCCCTTTGTAGGGTCATTTGGGATCTGGGACCTGTCCCTGAAAGTCCTAGGCAGACAGCTCTTCCATTGTCTGCTTCAGGCTTAGTAAACTCAAGATAGCAGGACCTGACACTCTCCCTGGGATGCTTGGCTTTTCCACAACTCCAGCTTTTGAACATTTCAGTGAAGGATTAATTGTTATTCATGGTGTCATTGTTACCTCATTGTTATATAGGTCACTTCGATTTGGAGGAAGTTGATGGGGTTTTATTATTAATGGAAAACAGCCATTCCAGAGTGGAGAATACTTCTGATTGGCGATTTAGCTTCAAAATAGTTTCCTATTTTAATAAGTCTCATGGAGAGCAGGTGAGGGAAGACAGAGGGTGTGTCTTCCCTAGTGGCCTATGTATTTTGTAGAAATGTGTGTGTTTTGAAGAGGAGAGGCCCTGTAACAGTGTGACCCCCTCAGACATGTCCTGGAAACCTGGTGTGGGGAGACACATTGGCCTGGCCCAGTTTGACTGATCTGCTTGGGACTATGATGCTCTGTACCCAGATAGGAGCTGACAGTGGCTGAGTGAATGTTTCCTGTTGGATTCCTGCAGGCTCAAAATTAGATTCAACAAATATTTATTTAATTTATGCTGTGTACCAGGCAAAATGTGCAAGATACTTTCATTGATATCGTCAGGGAATACTTGAGTCAAGAGAGGAAATCTCACTCGTAAAGTAAAAGCTAAGCATTCTGGAGTGGGGTACCATTCCCAGCACTGCAAAAATAGACTGAAAACAAAATCCAAATACTTTGCCACATCAGATTTCTTCTGAAAAGGCAGTGCAGGGATAACAATCTATTAAATAGTGAGATCTCCTAGAGTACTTCACACAGAGAATCGAAAGGAGCATCTAAGTATTAGAAGATGGCTTTCTCTATCCTAGGGAACTGAAATAACTGATCTTATAGAGTGAGTTAGACTGGGAGAAACCAGAGCATCTTGTGGGGACTAGGAGTCAGGGTCAGGTCGTCTGGGGACAAATCCACCTCCTCTCCTGCTTCTGTAGTGATGAGCAAATAGCACTTGATCCTCTGAGCCTCAGTTTCAGCATCTGCAAACGGGGAGTCTTGCTGACCCCTCCTGGGGTGGAGTGATGGTTCACAGCACTCAGAAACATCACTAAGGCAGGAATGGCTGCCCAGCTCTTGGGTATCGTTCTAACAACACAAGCTAATATCAAGCTGCAAGAAGAAACCTCGGGTATTTTTTTCAAGGAAATGCCAAAATTGAGGTTTTCCTTTGCAGCCTTGTGAAGAAGCCTCTGAAAACTGACTCACAGGCTCTGGAGAGCATGTCCACAAAGGCCCCTCATGTGCAAACAGTGGCCTCATCCAAGGCAACCGGGAGGGGAAAATGGTGACAGCCGTGGCTATGCAGTGAGCAGGGAACTCTGGCCAGCACCCCTAATTGTCATATAGGGTGGGCTTTATTTTGCAGACAGAGGAGGCTGGGGGAGAGGCCAGTTGGTCTGTAGGCTCTGCTCTGGGCCCAGGAAGGGAGGGCCGTAGCCTGGGCACTGGTGCTCAAGAGTGGCTTTTCCAGGACCCATCCTTGTTGGTGGCTTCCAGGATGCTTCAGGGGGAGGCACAGACCACCAGGCCCTGCCTTCCCCCTCTGTGTGTGCACTGTCAGCAAATGTCCTTTCACACTGGCTTCACTGGCCTATCACGGAACATTGGCAAACAAAAAGTAGTTGCCCTCCCCCAAAGATGTAAAGACCAAGAAGCAAGCACCATAAATAATGCCTATTTTTGTCTCAAGTGCCCGCTTCCACAGCCCGTCATTGCAGTGTGAACTAGAATAATCCAGTGAACAGCTGCAATCGGGAACATTTTAGTGCCACTATTTCAAGGACACAAAAGGCCTTGGAAGAGAAGCACTGCTGAGGAGTACACACAGGTGCTGGGGTGTGGAGCTGGATCTGCTTCCTCTGGCGGTGGTGGCAATGCCCAGAAGGAAATGTGGCCCAGAGGAGGTGGCTGCCAGGCAGCGGTGCTTCTTGCATCTGGGATGCATTTGAGACAAGAAGTAGAGGCTGGTGGCCATAAGAATCTGTAATTCTCTCCACCCCACCAGACACCTCTGGATGTTTGGAGCACTTTAAAGCTTGGTGTGTGGAGAGGGTGAAGATGGAAAAGGGTGTTTCCGTAGAATGGAGCTCCTGAGCCAGCAGTAGACCAAGATGCCTGTGCCAGTGAGGCAGAGGATTTTTCAGAATCACTCAGCTAAGCAAGTGTAGGTGGGGATGGGAAAGGACCAGGGAAGGACTAGAGAGTACCATGAGCATCCTGCTGCTCCTCTCCTCTGGCACTAGCCTTTAATACGAATTATACATTAAGCAGGAGGTAATGGAGGCTGATAGATAACTCAAGAATGATCTTAGTCTGCTATTAATAGTAGATGAGTTGCAAAAAGTGTGTGGGTCACTTTGTCTTGCTCAGGTAGAGGTGGGGAGACAGAGACAGCATTTGTGTAGGAGTAGAAGGAATAGCCCCTGTAAAATGGGATGAGAAAGATGCTTTTTTATTACTTTACTGTTAGAAAATGAGTGTGATTAAGTTCTAATCCTGTCTAACCTAAATTTTCTTTTAAAGGCCATTTTGTCAAATTAAAGTTATGAAGCTAGTTTTCCTCTGTTACTTCTTCTTTGAAGTTGACCTCATTCAGGCCTGAGGGTGACCTTGATAGACCCCCTCCCCAAAAGGACCAGGATGGCCCTGCCCTCTGTGAGTGCCTCTCAGAGAGCAACCTTGGTAAGGGAAATAGCTCGTGAACACAAGAGGAGGAAGGGCTGAATTATGAAAATAGCAAGATGTGAACCCCAGGCTTTTCTAAGACAGACTTTAATGATCCCCCCACTCTTGGATGGTACTGATTCCTGGTTCCTGGCATAGGTGAGATCTCCCACAGTTGCATAGAAACAACAGAGGGTAGAAGGAGCAGTGGAATCCAAACACTGTGACATAATCTGAAAATCCTCATGTTTGTTGAGGGCCTACTATGTGTGATATGTGGCTGCTGATCTTTAGGGGTTTATGTCATTACCAGGAACACAAGATGAATTCTGGAAATTATTAGAAAAGAGAAAATATATCAAGCATTGAATTATGCAATCTGTGTAACAAAAGCTGAACCTATTGACAGGAACAAAATTAATAGACTAGGACGCTTAGGCCACGCTCTGCATGGCAGGGAGTTATAGCTAAGGGAAGGTGCGGCTGGATAGTGGAGTGTGGGGGAGGATAGGGGAGGAGTCCGGGGCAGAACAGTGTGCATGGAGACACAGAAGCAAGGATAAGAATGACATGGCTTTCAAATGATCCTTGATCCTCTTGAAGAAATTGGAAGTATTCAGACTGTAGTGTTCAGATTCAAAGAGAAAAAGATTTAGAAATGTGCCCCAATATCAATAACATTTATCATTGGGTGACTTTAGTTTCTTCTGTTTACCTTTTGGTATTTTCTAACTATTTACAATGAAATGACCCATCCTACCGGAAGAGACAGCACCATCCCTTGCTCAGAGTGGGATGTGGACTGTGTGGAGCAGATGTGGGATGCGCAGGGGACGCCTTGCCGGGGTTCAGGAGGCTGCAGCTGGGAGGAAGGGGACCAGGCTGTGGGACCGAGGGTGGGCAGGGTGTTGGCTGAGGAGTGGGAAGCACAGGCTGTCTTTGAGATTTGCCAGGAGTTGCAGGCAGGGTGAAGTGGGCAGGGTGAATAGCTCTGGGCTTTCTATTCTAATTCACCCGTGAGGGAAGAGTGGCTCGCACCCTATAGTGTCACGGACAGTGACATATAGGGACAGAGCAGAGAACCCTGGCTAGAAGGACAGGGTGATTGTGTAGACAGGAAGGGAAGCGTGGGGAGTGGAGCAGCTGGTAGATGGGACATGGAAAGTACTGGGAAGATTGCTCATCCAAGGACTGCACACCCCTTTTCATGAGTTGAGCGCTCCTAAGACACCACCCCTCTGGGTAGGAGTTCTGAGGAGGGGATCACCTGTGGTCCATCATTGGCGGATGGGTCCAAAGTCTGCAGCTGTGCACCGTGAAGTAGTCTTGGGGCTGAGCCTGGTTGTGACTGCTTGTTCTCTGGACACAGAGAATGGCTGGTGTCTGCCAGCCCACACCTGAGGAGACAGCAGATTGTCACTGGTAGCAGTGACAAGGCATCATTACGTGAGAGTGGTTGCAGCCAGTGGGACCCAAGGCCGATTCTAGGTGGCTGGAAGCTGGAGAGGCTTTTCAACTAATCATCAACTTTGACAAGATGAATAGAGTATTGATCACTTGTATCACAGAAGCTTTTTTGTTTATATGACCTAGTGGGTGAGGACACCCCACACTGACTGCCTTCACCTGTGTGGCAGGATCTCGAGCAGCCGGCATGGTAGAAGTGTGGCTGTGCCCTCTCTGGACAAGCAGAAGCCTTGGTGTTGAATCTGAGTTCTTGGCAAAGTGTGTCTGAGGTGCCGGTGCCCACCTGGAACTAGCTGTACCCCTCCCAGGGGACTTCCTATCTGCGTGGCCCCAAACACCCTGAGCCTGTCTTGCTTTCTGGCCCCTTCCTCATGGCCTGTTGGAAGCCCTTGGCCTGGCATGGTCTCTGCATCCGGGGCAAGGGAGGGGGTGAGGAACCCCGGGGAGAGACCCCAGGGATAGTCTCCACATGCAGGCTCTCGAATTCTGGGGAATCTTGCAGAATGGGCAGGGTGTAACTGAGTCTTAGAGGCATAAAGCCCAAGCAGAACTTCAGTGGCAAAACTGCCATGACTAAGACTCCAGCGCACCCTGCCACCCTAAACTCTGCTGTCTAGAAAAGCACAGAGGCCAAGGCGGGGCCAAGGGTAAGTGCTGTCCTCATGAGGTGCTCACCTGCCTTCTCTGGGAAGGCTCATTTCCAAGTTCACGTGGGAAATAACTCCTCTGCTCCTGTCATGATATCCCGGGCAGGTCTGCAGAATAGCAAAACAGTGGGTTTTCTGTAGAAATAATTTCCATCAGAATGGTGAACTGAAAGCAGCAAGAATCCTCAGATTCTCATGTAACTTGTGCTGACATCTTTGAGTTGGAAGCAAAAGGTCCTTTCCTTCACATTTGCATTAATCATGTAGTAAAACAGGTACTTTCTAAATATCCTTTTTGTGATTAACAGACCACAGTAATAATAATGAAACATTTTTTAAGTTTAAAAGCACTCAAAGTGATGCTATCTACAGTACTATGTAAGGATACACGTGTGTAGCATACAATGTGAAAAATGTGTGGTGTGATAAATATCATATAAGCAGTGTCGGGGTGGGGGGAAGGTGGTAGGGAGGTGTTGGAAGTGGGTTTATGTTTCCAGTGTTTGCTTTTGGATCATAGTGGTGGATATATGGTTGTGTTTTTCTTCACCTTTTTTTAGTGCACCTGAAACATCACATAATATCTTTTTAAATACATGCAACTACGTTGAACACATATCTCTAATATAGTGATCACTTCACAGGAGAAAAGGCAAAGGGCGGGAAAGTTGAGTAAATACGTTTTTCTTCCCCAAGTTGGGCGCTGTTTGCTGCTGTTGCTCATGAACTCTTCCTTCCTTTCTTATCTGCACCAACCACTTCTCTGCTCCTAGATGGTCCCTTCCAGCATGTCTAAGTAGTTATCTGTTCAGCTACTGCCAAGCAGTGGTTCTGTGTGTCAGCCCAGAGCTCTTTCTGTGATCCAAGCAGCTCCCTCCTCCCGAGCCCCTCCTAAATAAAGAGGTCATGAGAGGTTTGAGAGAGGAGACACTCCTGTGCTGGCCCCAACTCTGGACCTGTGTTACTCACACTCACAGGTGTCAGCTCTTTTAATTCCCAGGGCAGAGGAAGGGGTGCAGCTGCCCTGTCGTCCTGGAGGCAGAATGGAGGGTGGCACCCAGCCACCTGCCCAGGGTGAGGCACCCGCAGGGCCCGTAGCCAGCCTGTGGCAGTCACACCCAGGACTCCTCCCACACACTGTCCTATACAGGGTGCACACTTATGCATCCTGGTGCTCGACCTCATGGCAGGTGGCACACAGCTGTGAAGTAGCTCTGGGGTCTGAGGAGGCTCCCTCCTGGGCTGCAGGAGATTGACTCATCGTCCTCACTGCATTCATGGCCACCACAGTGAGTCCCTGTACCTGGATTGGAGGCAAGCACAGGCAGGAGGAAGGAAAAGGACTTCTATTTGTCTAGATGAAAACAATCTCATCCTTTTAGTTTCTGTTTTACATATGTTTTATAATTTATATAGCACATTGGCACAGTAGTACAGGTAGATGATTTATAAATAAATATCCATATGTTGAAGATACGTGCTCAAAAGTATTTTTATTGAGAGGAATGTAAAGTTGTGAAAGTTTAGAGACTTGGGCTTGGGGTGTGGCTTAGTGGCAGAGCACTCGCCTAGCATGGGTGAGGCTCTGAGTTCTGTCCCCAGGACAGCAAGAAAACAGGAGACTCTGCAAAGTCTGCCCTGCTAAGCTGATCTGTCTTGTCTGAAGAACAGTGAACAGCTATTCCACAGCACCTATGTGGATTAGCACAGTGTCCATGAGCTCAGGAATTCTGAAGCCGTGTGCTTCCTGGTACCGAGCAATCTTGGACACATGATCGCAGTGATATTCTGGGGCTGTTAGTCAAATCATGATGCGTTAAGAGGAAAGCTGGAGAAACACAGATAGGTCACTGTTTAAGAGAGCAAATTTTACAAGGCCAAATTCCTGAAATTTTTTAGAATTGATTATTAAACAGATGGCTTGTGACCAGTTAGAGGAAAAACAGTGGTCTCTGGTCTCTGGCAGCTGACGTGGGTCCACCAGAAATGAGTCACACCCAACTAAACTCATTCCTTTGTAACACTCAGCAAAGCTTTCTGGGAGAAGCCATTCATTCATTCATTCATTCATCCATCCATCCATGCAGGATTCATGGCCCACAGGGAAGGTAATCACTGCACATCTATTAGGTTTATAGCCCTGGGGTTGAATGACATCTAGTGATGAATCTATTGCAATCTCTGTCCCCCAAGAGCTTTCCTTCTAATAAAGGGGACAAACATACATAAGTAACTATAGTAAAACAAAGTATTATCTAAGTGCACAAATGATATAAGCAAATGTGACCAGGATTCAGCAAGAGGAAAATGCTCTCAGGACGATGACCCCTAGACTGCAAGACCAGTGGTGTCAGTGAAGAAAGAAAGTGTTAGAACTTCCATTGATTTTATTATTTTATTTTAGTTTTTGTACCAGGGATCAAACTCAGGACCCTGTACTTGCAAGGCAGGTGCGGTGCCACTGAGCTAAATCCCCGGCTCCACTTATTTTTTAATATCATATTGAACATTTTCTCTGTTTGTATATTTTTACATTGGAAAAGTCTTGTATGATTTTGTAGACAAAATGAAAAGTGAAGCCATTTGGGTTGGATAAGAAGTAACTTGGAGCCAGTGGGACAGCTGTTCTCAGAGGGGGTTGTGTAATGGATGGACGTCACCCCCAGGGGAGGTCTTGTGTGACCTGCTGCTGGCCTCCATCTTACATGGCAGCTTTAGAACCTGCCAATGCAGCTAGCACATTCACCTAACTCACAGGAAGGTAAATGTACTCAGATAAGCACAAATGATAATAATTTTTTGCCAAGAGAACATATCCAGAGAATTTCGTCAGAATCCCTGAAAGATCTGGAGAAACTTGGACAAATAAAAAGTAAACAGTCATGGCCCGGGATTTAGCTCAGTGGTTTTGCCACCTGGTGAGCAAACACAAGGACCCAAGTTCGATCCCTGGTACCAAAAAAAGAAAAAGAAAAAGAAAAACAAAGGTAACAGCCCTGTATATCCTCATTTTCTGTATCTGTGAATTTAATCAACTACAAATTGAGAATGTTTGGAAAAAATAAAGACAATGCAACAATAAAAATAATACAAATTTTAAAAACAGTATAACTTTCCATAGCATTCATGTTGTATTGAATGTTATAAACAATCTCGAGATTACACAAAGTATATGGGAGGAGCTAAATAGGTTATTCATAAGCACTGCACTGTCTTCTGTGAGAGACTTGAGCTTCCGGGATTTTGATATCCATGACAGATGTTGGAACCAGCCTATGGATGCAACAGTGTGTAGACAGAGAAGACAGTAATAACAATAATAATAGATACACTTGCTGAGCACATACTATTGATGGGTACATGTTGGCTATTGTACACCCACTGTTTCACTGAATTATTGCAGAAACCTATAAGATACACACTACATTATTTCCAATGTACAGTTGGACGAAATTTAAGGGATGTGTTAGATTTCCATTACTGTATTAAAAGATCTCTAGAGAATCAGCTTAAAAGGAGGAAAAGTTTATTTTGGCTCACATTTCAGAGGCTTTAGTCCCTGGTCACTTGGCTGTGTTGCCTTGGGCTGTGGTAAGGCAGTTCATCATGGTGGGACCATGTGGTGGAGGAAGCCACTCACCTCATGTTGGCCAGAAGTGAAAGAGAGAGAAAAAAGTGGCAATCCCATTACTCCACCCAAAGGCACACCCTCAATGACCTAACCTCCTCCCACTAGGCCATGCCCCTAAAGATATCTCCATCTCCCAGAAGCACCATCATCTGGGGCCCAGACCTTTCATACATAGTCTTCACGGAACGCTCCAGATCCACACTCCAGCAGGGAGGTTCGGCAGCCTGTGCTTGGCTTCTCCACCCCAGGATTAGTTGAAGGAGCTGGGCTTGTGTCCTGGAGGAGGGAGGGCCGTGCCATCTTCTGTGTACATTTATCCTGAGAGGAAAGTGGAGGATTTGTTAAGTGGGGTTGGCAGGGAGAACTAGGGCCTGTCAGATGGCTGCAGCTCTGGTCTGAGGAAGGACTTCTGGGCTTCTGGACATCAGCTACGGAAGGCAGAGGGGTGGCAGGGTGAAGGAAGAGGGGCTCTGTACTGGGTGACCATGAGGTCCGGTTTCACATTATGAGACCCTGACCTGAGTGGATAATGGACCTGCAGCCCACAGCCCAGTGACGGCAGGGTTCCAGCCATGGAAAGAGGCATTAATACGGCCCCAGGGCAGCCTTGCTGTGCAGCCACAGATGTCTGCACTGTGGAAGCAAATTACCTTCCACAGAGGTCAGAGTTGTGACCTGAGGGGACCAAACAGAAAAAGCTGGAGCTGCCATTACCTGAGCTTTCGCTTTTGGGGAATTTTTTTTTGTGGGGAGCGGGGTGGGGGTGGGGGTTGGTACCAGGGATCGAACTCCGGACCTTCTGCTTTTGAAGTAGGTGGCAGAACCACTGAGCTAAATCCCCAGCCCCTGGGGAATTTTTTTTTAAAGCCTTCAAACTTTCTACCTTCTAACATGAAACTAGCTTTGCTGATCGTTTGGCTGAATTGTGAACATTTGGCATCTGCCAGTACTGAATATCTGGCCAGCACTGCCGGAAGTGCCAGGTATACATCACTCAAGATGATCTGTGTCTGAAAGCACACACTCAGTAGTTAGGCAGCTCCATGCCACCCAGCTGGAGAATGGGTCTTCAACAGAATATTCAGCACTTAACTTTATTATCCCCAAACTGGGGGTGAGGCTAGAATATGGGGGAAGCTGCATTAGGTTCTTGTGTCTGTGGAGCACTGACCATGCCACTGAGCTATACTCCAGGCCTGGGAAAGAATTTCAGGAAGGAGTCACATTTGAGAACCTAAGCAATAATTTCTCACTCACTGCTCAAATAGCAGTTGAGGGTAGGTTAATAAAATTGCAAACATGCTCAGGATGTTTCACTCTCAGTCCAGAGACACAATGATGCAGATGGGTATTTCACTCCTGTGAAAAAATGTTTTTGATGTCTTGCTAAATTAACCAAAGCAGGCTATGAAGCACCCTGTGTTCCATGCTTAGAATGACATGTGTGCATGTATGTAGAATATGTGCACTTTCCAGAGTCCATAGGGATATCCAGCAGAGTAATGATAGCAGGTAACAGGCTGAGCACTAGCTAAGGAGCAGGGCTCTGCCAGGTGCTACTCCATTAGTCCTCTTGACAACCCCTGCAGCAGGTTGTCATTGTCTCATCTGATGGAGGAGGTCATCCAGGGGCACAGAGATGCTAGGAACATGCCCAGGTCACACAGCTTCTAAGAGCCAGCAGGCAGGCCATCTGACTCCCAAGCCATGCTCATAATCCTCTTGCTATGTATAACCTTCCAGTGATGCCTTGGCTGTATCCATATCCAGGCACTGAGAGTATTGTTCTAAGTTATCTGATTTTTATTTTATTTAAAAATTATTATAATTATAATAATTCTTATTATTGGTGCTGGGAATTAAACCCAGGGCCTCATATATGTCAGGCAAGTGCTCTACCACTGAGCGGCATTTTGATTTTTTAAAGAACATTTTGCCTTGTGATAAACTCATATTATCTATGTATTTAGTCAAATATGTGTTTCCCCCAGTTGGATAGGATTGGAAGTCACTGTAAGTCCAAGCCCAGCCAGAGCACCTTAATGACTTAGAAAGACCCTATCTCAAAATAAATACAAAGGGCTGGGAATGTACCACCCAAACAAAACAACAATAGAAATGAAAGCTCTGCTGAGAGCAGACCATCTGGCTCCTGGTTCAGCGCTTGACTGTCTACAAGGAGCTTTCAGGAAAAGCTATTCTAGAATTGAAACAATGCCCAGGAGTTTGGGTGGGGTGGAGCTGCATGGTGGGCTTGAAGAACCCTCTGAGCTGTGTCCCAACCTCCCGATCACTGCCCTCATTGGGGAGGGGTGTCACAGGCACTGACGTCCTCTCCTGCCAGAGACAGTTTCAGGGCCAAAGCAATACTGACCTTCAGCTGGCCAGCCATTGTCTCTCCAGAAAAGGAACCCACCTTCTGCTTGTAACAAGAATCCAGTCCTCCTCCCACCCCTTCTTCTTCCCCTGTGACACTATAGAGGGGAGTTCTTATGGTATGAATCTGGCTTTCTTCTCTTGAACCCCAAGCTTTTACCCTCAATTTAAAAATAAAAGAAAATTTATGGCCTAAGATTCTCAAGTGCCTTAGAGCACATATTTCAGAGCTGACCAGTGATTTTACTGGCCACCTCAACATCACCTTCATTACTACCACCTCACTGTCACCATACAATCCCTAACCTCCATGTCTTGTCCCCTGCTGTGGGGCTGGGATCCCTGCTCATGGACGTACAGTCACAATGCTGGGTCAAAAGAGGCAGGGCTAAAATGTATAATAGATAATGTGAAATAGGAAGAAAAGGGACAAAGGGAAAGGGGAAGTGGAAGAGGTAGGGGAAAGGAAAGAAAGGAATGGAATTAATATGAGAAAATGCAAAAATGGAAACAAAGTTCTTGTAAATAGGGAGGGATGGAGGGGTTTTGAAGGGAGGGCAGGAGAATGGGGAAAAAAATAAGAACCAAGAGAGATTATGTAAAGGTGCAAATTTCCAATGATGAATATCATTATATTGTGTACCTAAAATGTACCAATAAAATTAATTTCTAAAAAAGAGGCAGGGCAATGATGACTTTATTCTCAATGAATCTTGGGAGATTCTGATAAACAACCTGTCAGTGATTTGAAGCTGTGTGCTAGTCTCCTTCTGGAGACAGGATTGTGTTGTGGGTAAGGGAAGCTGCTCCAGAGTGAGACTTGGACCATGGTCCCATTCCCTCAGTAGTTCTGCAACTTTGGGAAGCACCTCCACTGCTTCTGTTTCTTTATCCATAAGATGGGTTTGTCACAGTTTCTACCCCCAGCAGATTGTTGGCAGTAGAAGTGAATAAAGGCTATAAAACATTTGGTCTGTGTGTGTTCTCTCACTGTTGCTTACCTAGTAGCAGGCCTGGCAGGGATGGAATCCATGTGTCCTTTTAAAAGCAGAATATAGTAGGTGCTGGTAAATATTCAGAGAAAGAGTGATTGAATGAATGAATGAATGAATGACCAGGTACATGATAAGTGCTTAATAAATACTAACTACTGTTATTGTCAAGCCTTTAGTTCTTCCATCGCTCCTCTTGTAGGAATAAAAAGTACAGTCAGGCATGGTGGCACACACCTGCAACACCAGAACTCTGGGATCCTGGGGCAGGAAGTTCACAAGTTTGAGAGCAGCTTGGGCAAATTAGTGAGACCATGTCTCCAAAAATTAAGACAGCTGGGGACATAGCTTTAGTGGCAAAGCCCCCCTGGGTTTGATCCCAGTACAGGGTGGGAGTAGTTTTACTGATTTGATTTTTATTTTCTTTTTCTCATGTCTGTTTTTGGTGAAGCTGTTAACATTAGGAGATGGTCAGATGTAGCTAGAAACAGGAGAAGACCTTGTAAGTTGGATAATTATCACACCAAACAATCAAGAGTGGAATCATCACAATCTTCTGTTCTAGAACATTGTGCTGCCTCAATATTATGTTTTTTCTTTGTTTTTCTTTATCCTCCCCCCCCTTTTCATCCAGTTATAGAAAAAACAAGGGCTACATGAGAGTCTTCTCTCATGACAAAAGTCCCAGAAAAATGCTATTGTGTCCTGGGGCTACGGTTTAATTTTCAGATTGAGGACATCAAGGTGCTTGCCATCATTGCTGGTCCCAGGGCTTGGCTGTCCCAGCACAGGGTGAGATCGTTGGTGAGGGTCTAGAGTGTGCCTGCCAGACCCCTTCATGGGCCTGAGGGCAGAACTTCTTCCTGAGATTGAGATGGGACTGCCTTTTTCACACTTACCCTCTCAAGTATAAACTACTCATTGGTGTTCTATGCACATCCATACTGCAACCAACCTGTAAAAAATGACCACTTGTTGAGGACTGATGTTGTGTCCACCAAGAATTTCACAATTCACTGAGAAGGCTGTTAAGATGCAACTCCCTTTTCTAACTTCGTATCTGAGTAGGGCCAGCTTTTCCTCATGTACCTCAACAGCGTGAAATACAGTTTAAAAATACTGATCTCTTAACAAACTTGTCACCTGAATAAACACATAACATTAAATAAGTCAAATCAACAGTCTCACTTCCATGGAGTTACTCTTCCATTAAAAAGGACCTGCTGCCAGGCATGGTGGCGCACGCCTATGATCCCAGCACTCAGTACACCGAAGCTGGAGAATCATTGTGAGTTTGGGACCAGCCTTGGCTAATGTAGTGAGTTCCAGGCCAGCCTGAACTATAAAGTGAGACCCTGTCCCAAAAAGCAAAAATAAATAAATAAACCTCGAGACCACATTATTTTGCAGAAAATGATTAATCCCACTCATAGGAGAATCATTACAAAGAACAAAAAGAGAAAGAAACTCAGCCAACTCTTTTATGAGATTATTATAGCATTATAAAGAAAGGAAGATAATACAATGATACGTAGGTTGTGGAATTGTTCCAAGCTTGAACTTTCTACTACTTGAACAGCAAAGTTTGAAAAAATCTGCTCGGTGTTTGTAACTTTGCTCCATAGTCAGCCAAAAATCTGACTTGAAAATAACCCTGACTGGGCCGTGAGTGAGTCCTGCGTTGCATTGCACTACAGACACACAGGGGTGACACTTTGGTGTAAATGTGGCTCTTGCCCAGACCACACATAGTTCTTGTGTTAGTGCCTTAAAACATTTGTCATGGTGATTTTCTTTTGTGCTTTATTTACTGAAAGTATCATTTTGGTTGCTCTAAAGAAAGTTAGTGATACCAGCAGGAAAGCTAACAGGAAAACTGTGAGAACCATGATAAACTCAAAGAAATCATTGTGAAATTTTTAAAATCAATTTATAAGTGCAATTTTTGAGCCTCAGAAGCAATTATTTGGTTTTCCATTATTTCTTGTGGGAAAAATACGTTCAGTTCTCAAACTTTGCGATGTTGAAACATGAATTTTGAAGGAATTGAGTTTGACAGCCGAGGTATCACTGTATGTAGTAGCAGCTCCATATAAAAGCAGTAGCAGTGCAGATGGTCTGATATTATCACACCTGGGCCCATGAGCTGTAGGATGGAGTCCCCTGCCCAGCAGACCTGTGCTGTGGGGACTCAATGTCTAACAAAGATGCCACTGTGATGCAGTGTGAAGAGAGGATGGGCTGTATAGTAAATGGTGCTAGGATAATTGCTTTATATGGAAAAAATTAGAACTCTTTCCACACTACACACAGAAGTGAGACAGGTGAAGTTACAGACCTAAAGATGAAAGGCCAAACTATACAACACTTACAGTTTGGACCTTCCACTGTCTACCAGAAGAACATAGATTGAAGGCTCAGTCTGTAGCCCTTGCTGTTGTCAGAGACCTTTAAGAGGCAGGGCCTAGAAAAAGGAAGTCAGATCACTGGGGTGTGTCCTGGGAGGGGACACTGGGACCCAGTCCCATCCTGTCTTCTCTTTGCTTCCTGGATGCCATTAGGTAAGCAGTAGTCCTTTGCCACATGCTCCCAGCATGATGTGCTGTGCTCCCTAAGCCAAAAAGAATAGAACCAAGAGACCATGGACTGAAACCTCTGCCACAATGAACCAAAATAACCCTTTCCAGCTTTAAATTGATAATCTCAGATATTTTGTCACAGTGATAGAAAGTTGATCAGTGCCCTTATAGGAAAATACTTTTATGAACTCAGGGTAGGCAGAGATTTCTTAAACAAGACAGAATAAGTGCTAACTATAAAAGAAATCATTAATACATTTGACTACATTAAAACTGACAATTTTTGCACATCAAAAGACACCACCTAAAAAGGCAAAAAGATAAGTCACATACTGGGAGAAGATATTTTCAATGCACATAACTAACAAATGATTAGTATTCAGGCTAGGTAAAAAAGTCCTACACCTCAATATGAAAAGGACAAACAGTATAACAGAAAAATAGGCAAAAGGCTTGAACAGTAATTTCACAGAAAAGGAAAAATAAATGGCTAATAAACATGTGAAAATATGCCTAACCTCATTAGTAATCAGGGAAATGCAAATTAAAACCACAATGTCATATCATTTTCCACCCCCTAGATCAACAGTAATTTAGAAGTCTGACAATATCCAGTGTTGATGAGCTTGGGGAGCAGCTGCATGCCTGCTATGGGGAGTGTAAATTCAAAAAACCAGTTTCAAAAACAACTCGGCATCATCTAAGCTTTCTTAGATGATGGGCATACATACAATTCTGTAATTGTACTCTTGCTAGCATTCAGTCTGGGCAGATCTTGCACACAGGCTCCAGGAAGCTTGTTCATAGCAATAGTGCTTGAATAGCAGAAAGTGGAACCACTCACATTCCAATAGCAGTAAAGTTAACAAGCAGTGTGTGGCGCCTGCCTATAATGGAATACGATACAGTAGTGAAAATGAATAAGCTACAAACTGAATCTCAGGAATATCGTGTCACATCAAAAATGGAAATAGCAGAATCATTGGTGATAGTTCATTTATCCACAGTTAGATTACATGCAGAAGCTATGGGAAGAGTGCTAAAATTTCAAGGGACTCTCACAAGCCAGAACCGATGAAGTAGCTTGGCCTTGGGCTCCGAGGGTGGGGACAGATTCTGTGACCCTTTTCAGAGACAGCAGAGAACTGATGAAAGTCCTTGGGGACAGTCTGCTGGTAAGGGGAGTGATAAGTGGTATGGCAGCGCACAGGCTGTCACAAGGCGCTGCATCCAGGGGTGAAGTCGGGGTCTCAGCATGCAGGGAGTCTGCTTGGGGAAGCCAAGCTATGTGTGTGCAGCTGGTTGGGCACCCACCCCGAGGGTGGCTGGCCTTTCCCCATAGAGAGGTCTGTGGAGAAGTGTCTGGAGTTGCCAGTGGGGTGGGGTGTGGGGCTCTGCAGTTAAACTCTGAGTTGCCAGGGTCCCAGGCCTCAGGGACCTTCAAGAGACTGTGCTGCCAAAAAGCACCTAGTCGGAGACTTGGGATGGCAGTTTCTCTACATCTCAGTGACACCTGTGCATGTGCTGTTTCAGGCCTCTGGGACTCCTGAGAGAAGAACATGTTCCTCCTCTTCCCTGGATGGCAACTGGGCTTCTTATTTCAGTGCTCTCACCAGTGACAGCCATGGCTTACTTCCAGGAATTTGGGCTGAATGCTCACTAGGGGCCCAGTCTATAACCCCACGCCTGAGTGAGCACAGGCCAGCGCAGTGCTAGCAGGAAGCGGCCAGGCCCATGCTTATGGAGAAGTGTGCTGTGAACAGTGTTAAATGCTGTCTAACAGGACCTGCTTTGTGTTTTTAGCTTTCTGGCCCCTTTCAAAAGAAAGAAGCCATGATTTGGTTGCTTGTTTCAAGGGTCACCTGCTGAAGGACGAGCACTTGGTGACTGTGGTGGCCACGGTCTTTCCTAACCTGGCCATGCAGGTGCTGATCTGCCCAGAGGCGCTGGGCCCTCGGGGCAGGGGGTTCTCATCTGCCGTGGACACAGAGCGTACCTGGGCTCCCAGGGCATTTCCTCGGCAGTTGTGCCCTCACAACAGGGCTGCTTCGGTTCTGTGGCAGAGCCTTGAAGCCAGATGGCTGCTTCTCAGGGACCTGGCCTGGCTCAGCCTGGCAGCAGGGAGGCCCAGGGCACTGTAGAGGGTGGAGAGTCCCTTCTTAGGAAGGGCCCTAACCAGCAGCTGCCTTCTAGAAAGGACCTGTTAGCCATTCAACACACACAGTGGCCCTTCCCACGGTTACCCGGGCTCCAGGGAAACTGGCCTCATGATTCCGTTCCTTTGCGGTCTCCTGGTCCCTCTGCCATTCGCCAACTGCTGTTTCAGGGCACAGTGTCTCCACCCTGAGCAGATGCCACTGATCCTATTGTTGCCCTCGATGGGTATTGCAGGAAGATCCTGCCCACCAAGCGGAAGAGCCCTCCCCTCCTCACCTCTGCTGGGGACTCTGCTTCCCAGGCACCTGGCTCTTTGGGGCCCCTGTGTTTTAAAGACTGTGCCTAGATTGCCTACAAGTGGGCAAGGAGGCAGTGGGACCCAGTGGAAGCACTGGGAAAGCAGCACCCAGAGCCCAGAGTCCCAGAGTGCCACCCCCACCCAAGGCTGTAATCTTTGAGCCCCAGGTGGGCGCCACCCTCCCATGATAAGGACAGTGGGAGGGTGGCAGAGGCTGTGGTGCACCCTGCAGCTGTGGCTGCTCCTCGAGAGGCCACGGACCTGGCAGGAGCCAGCTAGTGCAGCATGATGGGCTTCTGGAAAGTGAGTAGAGGGGCTGCTCATGGGGTGGGTGCTGGGGACAGGCAAGGTGGCAGGGTGTAGACTGGGGACCCCAGGTGTCCACTGGGAAGACCCTGCTGGGGCTCTGTGTTTGCAGTCACAGCAGCCCTGATGCTGGCTCTGAAGGTAGCTGGCAGGTGTCCTTTGCCTGACTCGTTAATCCAGGTCATATATGTTTTCGTCATAGCCAGAGACTTGAATAGCATTCCACTACCCAGGACTGTGAACTCTGTTCTGTCTGCATTGGGGCCGGCAGGATGAGAGCCAACTGTCATCCATCTCTCATGATGCTCTCTCCTTGACTCTTCTAAGCAGTGTTTTCAGCGCCACAGTCCAGGCAACAAAAGGCCCTGTGAGGCTGTCTTCTCTGCTGGGACCCTGTAACCCTCTTGTGGAAGGGGCTTTTGGTTTCTCTAAGACCCACAGAAACCAGTCACCTTGTGGCCACACCATCTCTGCTTTTGAAATGCTAAACGCTGGATTTATGTTGCTAACTAGAGGGTGAGAAGGCTGAGAAGGAGAAAAGGTGCCATGGCTCTGGGAGATAGGGACTGTGTGGGGAGTGTGTTCACAGCGATAATAGAGCCTTATGGGGCTCCTGGGTGTTTCGGCCTCCCTGAAGATAGGACATATCGCTGCCCGCAGCTCCGCCAGGTGCTGTTTCTGAGTCCTGTTCCAGGGCAAAGTTCTTGGTGTTTTGGGGACTCAGAGCCCAAAAACTCAGAGCCCAGAGCTCAGAGCCCAAAAACTTAGACCACCTGCTCTGAGGACTGTAAGTGAAAGGAACTCTGGTTCAGAGGCCAGGGGCAGCATCTCTATTCTTATTTATCTAAAGTCGCTGGGTACAGGGAAGCAATATGAAGAAGAATTTCTTTCTGGTGGTCAAGCTTCTCCAGTTTTCCTTTTCTGACTGGTTTCTTTTCCTAAGGAGGATAGGCTCTGTGAGGGAGCTGGGAGCTCATTTCAGTCCCATGGGAGTAGTGCTCCTGGTCAGTTTCACCTGGGTCTCCTTTGGCTGCACTGCAAGAGGCCTTAGGATGCCAGTGTCCTGGAGGCCTGGGGCTGCTCACCACAGACCATAGGATGTGGGCAGGGGCACGTGGGCATCTCTGGGTCACATGGAAGCCCTGCACCTTGCAGGAATCAAGGGAGAGAGCTGGGCACAACCCAGGAGGAAGAGGCAGAGGACATAGCATGTGCAAAGGGCCAGAAACAGGAGGGAGAAATGGAGGTAGAGCCACAGATGTAGAAAATATAGGGCTTGCTACATTATGGGAAGGGGTTTTCTTTTACCTTGAATGAGACAAGAGGCTTCAGGCAGCTTTGGTATGTATGATTTGACTTCTACATATACCTGTCACATTCCATGCCTTTGAAACAAGGCTCCTATGAATGGGTCACCAAACTGAGCCACCTGATAGAGAGGGCACTCGATGTGGCCATGGGATTCTAGTGCAACTGTTCTCGCCTTTTTCTCCATGGTACACAGGGCTTGTGGTGGACACAGTTCTACAAGTGTTCCTGTGACCATCTCCTGAGTGGTGACAATCTCCTTTGCCTTTACACTTGCCCATAGGATGAGAACAGATGCTGGGTCGTAGGTGCTCTATCATGGGTTAAACTGAAAAAGAGACAGAACCACTCTGAAGTCACCACTGGTGTGCACCACCTCAGTCTGCACTCCACCTGCTAGCAAGCTCAGTTTTCCTGGGCCTGGGCTAGGGTGTGTGGGTGGGGCCCCAGGATGCCAGCTCTTGAGAAGCTGTATACACGTGCATGTGCGAGCAGGGGTGCTGGACAGGGGACCTTGGACGTGTGCTGGTTTTAAAAGTAGCAAGGTCTTCTTCATTCTTGGTCTTTCTCCCTTCTGCCCATTCTTCGTGTTTTGTTTCTTTGGTGCTGGGTATGCACCTCAGGGCCTCACATTCGAGGCAAGTGCTCACCACTGCGCACAGCCCGGCCCCCCCATCCTCAGTATGCTTTTCACCCCACAACCACAGTGATTGTGCAGACAGGTGGTCTCACCCATGACTCCCCAGCTTTACATCTTCAGGGTTTCACCATGTCCTGAGCTTGGAGTCCAGTCACCTTCATGTAACACCTCCTCCCTGGCCTGGCCCTCATTCCAGCTCCTTCTTCCTTGGTCTCCCCATCCTTGGACATCTTGTAGGACCCTATAAGCTCCACATGAGTGTGTTTGGTGCTGCTGTCACTCACTGTCATATCCTTGGCATTTAGCATGGTGCCTGGCACATAGTAGGTGCTCATTGAACATTGGTGACAGTAATAGATGAACAATAAATTACTTGCAAAATGCCTCACAGTTGTTCACCAGTTTGATCACAAACTTGCAATAGAAAACAATAGCTCTCACAGTGTGTGCTTCTCAGAAACTCTGAGCTTGGGATTACTTAAAATTCCTAAGATAATTCCTCCTTCCTTTGCTTTTCAGTGCACCTTCCCAGAACCTCCCTCTGGGCCCTCTCCCTTCCCACTTCTGTGCTTGTTTCCATCTGTGCTGCCCTCCTGTGAGCCCAGGTGGAAGCAGGATGGTATCTGGGTCCGACTCAGCTTTGAGTCACTTCCTCTGATTTCCCCAGCATCCACTGAGCTCTCAAACGTGGAGCTGAAAAACATGGAACAGTGAATTGATTTAAACCAGCAGATGAGTCAGAGTTTTTGCTTCTTTTTCCTTTGCTCAGATCCTGAGTATTGGCTGTGAGAAAGATGCTGGGCTGTTAATCTGGAAAATAAATCTCCAGGCAGGCCGAGTGCAGAAGTTGGTGGCCACAGCCCCAGGCCCTGTGTCCCAGTCTGGGGCAACCCAGGTCTAGACTGCAGCCCATGGAACCTGCCTGGGGCAAGCCTGGGGCTAGTCATCCTTCTCCTAAGGGCAGTGACAGCCAGCTAATCGGGGGAGAAGCAGAACTGCCATGGCCCCTGCCTCTGCACCCCTATGATCATTGCTCTCCTGCTGAGGCTGGCTGCTGAGCAGAGCCTGATTTATCTCCAGCCTTGCTGTTTCAGCACCAGAAGGAAAACCCATTAAGGGAGGAAGTGGTCTCACCACTGATGGGCCTGACCAACAGCTGCTCAGATTATTTGCTTGTGATGGAAGGGTGTGGGAATGCAGGCCACTGCACTGCCTGAACACAGAACAAGCACACATAACTCGCCCCAGCCCTTCTCCCCTGTGAAGCTGGGCAATGCTGTTCTTTCTGGGATAGTGCCAGGTCTTAGCCATCTCTGGAAGGCAGGGGAAGCCTCTCGAACCCTCCCCAGGGATGACAGTGGTCAGAAAACCACCCTGGCCTCTCCAGAAATGGGATGCAAAGCAGTATTTTGGAAGACAGAGCATATGGTTTTAATTTCCTTCAGAAAGTTAATGCCAAACAGGAAAGCTAAACTGAACCTGGTGTTGGCCCAGCCCTTCTCCTCAGTTCCCTGGTGGGGAACTATTGATTGAGGAGGGTGATCGCTAGAGTCCAGATGCTCAGAAGACCCAGCTGCAAGGTCCTCCCCTCTCCTAACACCTGTGTAGCATCCACATCTCTCCCCTCTGAGCCCCCACATTTCTATCTCTGGGGCATGATCTGAATTCCTCCATCCTGGACACCTTCACCAATCATTGGCCACGAAGCCCAAACTCCACCACTGCAGAGTGGTCTGCAGGTTCTTTGAGGAGTTGTCTCTGAAAGTTTTTTGTTAATTGCATACATTTGAACCTTTCTGGTAGGATCTTGAGCTGTATATTTGTGATCAGGTGAGGCAGAGAGTGGCGCTCAGAGCATCTGGATAGTTAGGGTATGAGGAGCGGCTGGGACCCAGGTAAGTGGGGAAGGACAAGCTTGCCTCCTGCTTAGGACAGTGACACTGGGCTTCCAGTTCCTTCCTAGATCTTCATCCATCCAAAGACCTGGGTTCCTAACAGTTTTATCTGTCACAGCATGGAACTTGCAAGTTGATGGGACACAACTGAACTTAGAGTAGACATACAGGCCAGTGAGGGGACTTGCTCAAATTCTGAAGACCTGTCCTCTAGGTGGCCATGGGGTTTGCCCAGGAGGCGGCTGAGCGTCTTGGCCTGAGTGCCTTAGGCTTTACCCCTCACCCTCCAAGAGCCTTCCAAACTCTGTGTATGGAGTAATGCAGTTCACATATAACAAGCACGTGCCTCCTTTCTACTCAACACCTTCACGTGGTGTTGGAATTGTTCCTTGACGTTAGTGCTATCATCCTTCCTTTCCATATGAGAAGATGAGAGTTAACCAGTGGCCCAGGTCCTGAATTTGTCCCAGCTTGACCTACCTCCTCGCAGCCTCCAGACCAGTGTTCAGGATGCCTGGCTTCCTTCCCTCCCATCCTAAGCATACCGACACTATTGTTTTGTTTCTGTCT